GTTTGATTCTTATTTGTTTCAGTCAGAAATACGGTTAACGCAGTCGAAATCATGTTTTGCACAAGACTGCCCGAAGCGTTTTTGCTTCTGGTTGAGAAATTTCTCAGGAGTACTTATTTTGTAGCCTTCTTCAAGCGTAAACAGTTTGATTGACTTAGACTTCCAAAGCCTGTTTGTTCAATAGTTACTTTACTTCAGTTTTTTGGGCTAGTATTTCGGTTCCACTTACACTGTGGTCTTCTAATAATACTACTAAATTTCCAGTTAACACCCTTAGTTATTTAAGGTTCACTTTTCAAGCTAGATAATGAGTTTTAATGGAACTTTCCAAATATCACGTGGAGAAAAAGTGCTAAGATGCAGTCTATACGAACGCCATTTCTCAAATCTTTTTTAATGGAGAAACTTATTTTAAAAGTGCTTTTACTTTGAAAAATATTATAATTGCTAGGTGAGCACCCAATGGGTTCGGAAACTATACGGCGTGGATTTAAGCAGGTAGCCAAATTTCTTGTGGTGTACTTTGAAGTGCAGGCATTAATTCCCTCTAGCGAACTTTCAGCTTCATAGGAAATTCTTCCGCATAGCAAGAAAGTTTTAGGATAATTTTCGTTCTAAACGCCTATCTTTCTGATGATTTCTCTTTATTAAGAGATTAGTGGCTTGTGGCTTTTTGTGGTGTTCTTTCGAGAGAAGTAAGATACCGGATATGTATGATGGTTGAACAGTTTTATAATTATTTGCGAAGTAAAAATTTATTTTGCAGCATGTTTGATGTTGGTGGACAGAGAGACGAGAGAAGGAAATGGATACAGTGTTTCAACGATGTAACAGCAATTATTTTTGTATGCGCCAGTTCGTCTTATAATCTTAACTTATGGGAAGATTCAACTCAGAATAGGCTAAAAGAATCTCTGGCTCTATTTAGGAATATTTGGAATAATCGCTGGCTGAAAACTATTTCCGTTATCTTATTTTTAAATAAGCAGGTAAATTTTTTCCTTGTGCATTAATAGAACTAGAAGCTAACAACACATTTTTCATTCTTTACTTCATATTTGTTTCATCTTTCTATTCATTATCATTAATGTTAATAACATAAATCGCTGATCAGTACCAACCACATATACTTTATTATGGTTACGATAATAAGGATGTGGACATTTGG